ACTGAATGGGTATCACGGCTCCCTAAGGTGGTGTCGGCAATCAACCATGAAGTCACCCATCTCACCGGCAAGAAACCGGCAGACGCTATCAAACTAAAATCAATAGTGGCAGAGTCGGCTGCTCCATTGCGTGGAAAAGAGAAACAGATACCAGATAGGGCCCTAGTGAGGTATCTATACCAGCCTGGGGAACATGAGGGTGATAGCCCTAAGCGAGCCACCGATCCTATATGGTCAGTCAAAACTTACAACATAGATAAAGTGGACATCAAAGCAGACGAGCCTAACTTGTACTACTTGAGGGATGGGCCAGGTAGGGGGTTTGTAAGAGCGGAATTATTGATCGTACCGTACGGCACAGTGTTACCTCCAGTCAACACAGCATAGCGGTGCCCCAGGATACCAACACACTCCAGCCATGCCCCCGGTGCGGCTAGGAGGTCCCGCTATCGTCCCAAACTTTTTCATAGTAGGGGTAATGGTAGCAAGAGCTAAGGGTCCGACCAAAGCCTTATCTGTGAAATAAGGCTTTGCAGAGGCTTTGGTTGAAAGTGGTCCAGAACCCCCATTGTATATACTACTCATGGCTGTGGTCCGTAAATAATCGAGTCTGCACAAGACAATCAACAGCATGAGTATCGATCTACGCACTTGGGGGTACGATGACATGATTTGACCAAGTCAGCGAGCCTGGCCACCCGATCCCGTTAGTCTTACGACTCTTATGACAAGCATGGGTTGCTAAAGATCACTTCTAACCCGGATCTTCACGGATTACACTCATTACAATGATGTCGAATCCCATTTTGGCGATCAGACGTTTCACATTTTCTGTCTATTGTCGAGTTTGGGAAAAGCGGACATACAAGATGAAAGAATCACGGTCAAGCATGTCCTGCTTGACTGTGTTGATTTTTCAATCACAAGGGATAAATATTTCAGTGTCAAAACAGCAAGGGACCTTTTCAGTTACGTTCATTCTCATTTCATCTTTGGTTTCTTGAAAGAATTAGATATCATTCATAAATTATGATATACATAAATAGTTTTATATAACTAGGTAGGATATATTTATCAACAGGGTTTGATTAAGGCTGTGCCCTCGACGGGGATTGAAGTACTGTAAAATTATTGTCCCCCTAAGAGGGTATGGAAGTGCATGTCTCTCCAAGTATTGTTATATGTACCAGGTTTTAATTGTAGTATTTCTGTTATTTAATTTATGGCTACATTGGTCGACAATTGCTGACCACTGAAAGGCTGATGTAAATCCAGCTAGGGGCCATGTAGGAAGCAAATGTACTGTAAGCCCCCATGGCCCCTAGTATGGTGATCAACTTTCAGTTGTTGGCAATATATAGCCTTTTATATTGTATTGTACTCTGTAGCTAAAATGTTTAGATTTAATTACTAGTTTTAAATTTGTATCTGTGATAATCTAGTTGTTTTACTGTCCTTCGTTGACAGGATTTTAATATTTACTCCCAATTACTCTAAATCTATAATTTGATTTAGTCACGATATGGCTGAAATATTGCCGATGTGACTAAAAATATTGACTCACTCACTATTAACTCACTCACTCACATACACGATAATGACTGACGCAGGTGTTAAATTGTGAAGGATTTATAGGGACTTTCATGTGCAATTTAAGTTCTGATGGTGGATCGATAACTGTCGCCATCCAGGGCAACACGCAACCTTCTCTTTTGTCCTATTCACGGCATACCCTGTAATAGTGCTGTTAATTAATGGGGTTCTTAATATAAGATCGTTCCCTGACATTGGTCCTGTTCTCTGTTTCATCACATGAGGATAAACTATGCTGACCTGGCATTTCTCAACACAGTCAACAAAGGAGTTAATAACCTTGTCCAAGGATACCACACAGTGACTCGCATAATGTGGACTCTTGACAAAGAAGATTTAAAATTATTAATACCGGAAAAAAGTTATAGGCATACTATTCATATTTTTCGTGTTCTCTCCACCCCTACCTCTCTAAAACCTTGTTTTTGAAACTTCCTGCACAAGGATGTTGATAGGTTACTAGTTCGAGCTCGTTACAATGTCAATAATGTCACTAAACAGAATAGGAAAGTGCAAAGGGTTAGGTACAAACGTGTTATTTGTATGATTGTGTGCGTACGTGTGTGCGTATTTGCGTGGGTGTTTAAACTCTTCACAACCTGTTTTGATACGCCCATGCAACCGGATATAAGCACACATGAGCACAAAACATACACATAATACATCCGGCAATATGTATTTTATAAATCGTATAGTGTGACTGCTAGGTCATGTTGTAACAACTTCGAGGGTCGTCATATTTTTCATTTAGAATTATGTGAAAATGCCTGTAGTTTGTGTGGGCGTAGTTGAAGCTTGGGTCTCACGTGGAATCATAGCCAATAGAACAGAGAGAGTGAGAGTCTTACACCGCTTTTAGCAATATACCAACACTCCCGGCGGGAGATACCAGCAATGGGCACTATACACTGTACCATGTGGGAATCGAACTCAGGTATTCGGCATGAAGAGGGAGCGTTATTACCGCCGAAGAGGCTACCCGACTGACCCCGCTGTCAAGGACTAAATCGCATCATTATTCGATGTGGGTATAGAACTATCGGAAACGAGAGAATTTGTGGAGTATCATCAGGTAATGAAAGATGATATCCACCTAGTACACACTGCATTGTCCCCCGCCGCAACGCGGAACAGGGGACCATGTCTACAGCAGCGTCCGTACGTCCGTCCTGATTCTTGTTAACGCGATATCTCATGAACTGGTGTGCAATGTCTTCAAATGTGGTGACAGCTTACATTTAGGAATTTCGCTGACACCAGTCGATTTGGGTGACCATGACATTATTTTCAACGTCACCAGGACACTTTGACCACTTTTCAAGCTCTTGTTAACGCGATATCTCATGCACTGTTGTACCCAATGTCTTCGAATTTGGTGACAGCCTACATTGGGGCATTACACAGACACCAGTCGATTTGGGTGACCTTGACATTATTTTCAAGGTCATCATTCTTGTTAACGCGATATCTCATGCACTGTTGTACCCAATGTATTCAAATTTGGTAACAGCCTACATTTGGGGATTACACAGACACCCGTCGACTTGGGTGACCATGACCTTGTCTTCAAAGTCACATGACACCTTTCAAAATATCACCCGTCTCAAAACCCAGACCCGTTATGATCATGAGACTAATAGATTAAACAATGTAATATGTTAGTCACCTGTTTTGAATATAACAAATGGTTTAGATATTGAAAAACTCGAAATTTTAGCCTCCGTACTAAAGAATATATTTGCCAGTTCTTATAAATATTATGTCAAGAATTAGCATAACGGGTTTCAGGGTAGGGTAGGGTAATAGGGGCTGGGATACCCGGGTAGAAGTTTTGGACCCGTCCCAACCCTAATACCCACTGATACTGACAGTGGATGTGATCGTCTGTCTCTATACATTCAAATCTACTATATTCCCGAAATGTCTTTGGCTGTATTGATTTTTCAAGCACAAGGAATAATATTTCAATGTCAAAACAGCTAAGGTACTTTTCACTAATGTTCATTTTCATTTAATCATTGACTTTTGAAAAGAAATAGAGTTGTTAGATAAAATTTGATTACAGTTGTGTAAATAGATAAATGTTTTATGATTAGTAGTTTAAACTTACAACTGATATTGTTAGTGGCTGTGTCCTCTAAGGGGGTCCAAGTACTGTAAAATTATTTTCTTCCTGAGAGGGTACGTAATTATAAACAATTATAGTAAAGTTAAGCTTAGTACTATTTTTAACCGAAGGATACATGTTATTTTAATTTATGGCTAGATTGTCTAAATTGCTAACATCTGAAAGGATTGTGTAAACCAAGCTAGGGTCCATGCAGGAAGCCAATGTACTGTAAGTCCCCGTGGTCCCTCGTATGTGATCTCCCTTAATATGTTGGGAATCTATAGCCTATTTTTATGTTGTGTTGTCCTCAATAGTAACAATGTTTTAGATTAAATCATTAGTTTTAAATTTATATCTGTGATAATCTAGTTTTTTTAATGCCCTTCGTTGACAGACTGTCATGATTTACCTTTAATTATTAATATATACCTTGATTTAGTCACGATATAGCGAAAATACTTCCAATGTGACTTAAAATGTTAACTCACTCACTCCTGAAATATCTTAATACTAGTTAGGAGAAGATTCTGAGATGTAACCATGACCAAAAACCATATCAAACAAAAGGTAATCTTCTATGTGGCCAAAAGATAAAAACTAGTAAATATGTTATATTCCATTCTTCTTTTATGGCACACACTTGTTCTATGTATTTTGGGTCCAAACAATCTCGGTCAAGTCTGGTAAGAAAGGTTCAGTGATTAGAATTGACAGCCTTTGGTGTTTACATTTCCCAACGTCATATGTCTCTTATGAAGTTGTCCGATCAAGGTTACAACATTCAAGGTCTCAACATACCTATCACATGTTTTGTGATGTACATTTCCAAACTAGACGCGTAAGTGACAAAAATTATGTCCGATGTATTTTACTATTTTGACTTGTGCCATATGTTCCCGCGCCCGGAATACCAAACCGGAATTTGACCAGAAACTTGGTTAATTTTCTACTTTTTCAACTGTTTATTTCGATGTTTTTACCTCGTTTGGTATCAGTTGGTATTGGACGATAGTGCACACAATACCTCAGTCTGCTAGTAATGAGAGTTCCTAAACGCTGATGTAAGAAACAATATTATATGTTGCTTTGTGATGCCAATATCTATATGTATGTATGTATTATATGCGTGTATACAAAAGAGATGTGGGTATTCATTTTCATATTGCATTCATGAAATTTACATCTTGTCCAGGCCAATCGATTTTTTTGTTTATATAATCCAAGCTGCATATTCGCTGGTGGGAGATGGAGGCATATCTCTGTTGCCAAGGGCGACATCATATATATATGTACAGCTGATGATTCTGTCGGGACCAGATGCGAAGTAAACCTGACATAAGTCATATGCCACTGAGGGAGCCCACCTAACCACCTACTGTTCCAAATCTTAAACCAGCGTTGTTTGACAAATGGGTTGTGCCTTGTGTCCTACAACGTAATAGATCACATATTGGCAGATTGGTAAGTAGACAGTTCTCCCTACGAAAGGGGGGCGGTTGGATAGCCTAGTGGTTAAGGCGTTCTCTTGTCACACTGAAGACCCGAGTTCGATTCCCCATATGGGTACAATGTGTGAAGCCCATTTCTGGTGTCCCCTGCGTAATACTGCAGGAATATTGCTAAAAGCGGCGTAAAACTAAACTCACTCACTCACTACGAAAAACAATTAGACCGAAATATCAAAACTGTTGCACTTTGGGCTGCAAAAACACTTGGTTTTTTACGTGTTTCTATATTGTTCAGCCGTCTCACTTTCACTTCTACACATGTAAATCATGTCAAATCAAAGTTTGAAATAGTGACAACAAAACAGTAAATGCGCTATCACGTAACTTGGTTTGACTTAGCTATTGACTGTCTGGTCAAGGTGTTTTGCTGGCCTCCTTCATGTCAGGAGTAAGGTTGTGCTTCATCAGGCAATAAGTATCCATTGTTTGTTAGAATTTGCACTTTATTTTCGAACATCAATAAAAAATAGCGAGCAGCTGGATTTAGTCGAGGGGCACGACCGTGAAGTCGAATTCGTTTCCGAGTTTCATGTTTATGTAACTAAGTCTAATCATCTTTGTTATTCTTATAAACTTCTCTGCCTTGTCTTCCGCTGTCTGTCTGGAACTGCCCCATCATATTTATCCAGTCTTCTTTCTCTGTACAATCCTTCTCGTTCGCTCCGTTGACAGGATAAAAGTATTCTTCTTGTCCCTAAAACTAGAACAGTGCAGTATGGAAACAGACCCTTGCCTATGCAGCACCTGTGGCCTGGAACAAACTTCCACAGAATCTCAGGGACTGTACTGACTTTGTGACTTTCAAATCCCAGTTAAAAACACATTTGTTCAGGACAGCCTTTTCAACTATAACTGTGTAATTTGTTACATTCTATCTGCGCTTTAAGCATGGACTGCATGGATACCACCGCATTACCAATGTGTTATGATGATGATGATGATATTCACGTCAACGCATGTGAGATATTTAGTCACGAAAGGTGTTCCACCCTTTTATAATAGCTAGAGCCTGAGTACTCTCTGGTTTACTATTCCACTGCATTGTGAATGTTTCCCAAAACTTGTGTCAGGATCAGAGTGATGTCATATGAATAGACACATAAACGTCCTCATTATCTTAGCTGTAAGTCTGATAACTGTTACAGTTGTAGCTGAATTGTGATATTTGTTGTAATTTCAAGGACTTTGAAGTCCTTAAAGAGTTCCTGACACAATTTTCAGGAAATGTGTATTTACTCACAACCGAATGTTACCTCAAGAGTCGTTGCCCACACTGAGTGTGATGATATCCATGATACGCTAATGCAGTATAACTCTTTTGCTCCTAAATTGGGCATTTATCACCCAATAAGTACATAATCTAACACCTAATTCAATCTCAGGTGTCAGGGGAAAGATCTAAACATAACGTATAAATAATGTATATTATATCAGTATGGAATAAGTACGATCTTGTGTAAATGTTAAAATACAGATGTTAATCAAATGTCTGTATTCAACATGTCTGTTTGGGTGATGTCGATCTATGGAACTAATTACATCTGTATTTATATGCACAAATAACAATGACGATAAGATGACCACGTACTGTTTATATCAGACTAGAAAATGAATCTATGTACTTTAAAAAATCATTTCTGCTTTTTTCTGTGAACCAATCACTTCATGAAAAACTTTGATGCTGCTGAACAATAGCATATACATGATTCTCCTAAAAAATAAGATATGTAAAACATTAAACAGATGCTGTAAATGCAAAGCCAGGATTGGAACAAAAGGATTGGTTTATAAAAGGAAAGTGAAGTCGTGGGGTGAATAGTACTGAATATATTGTGTACTAATTGTGTAAAAATAGTTCCCACAACCTATGATAATGAATAATTTATTTTTAGATAATATTCGACTGATAATGCATGTACTAATTATTGAATACACACATACTTTCTTCATCTTTATATTTTCCGTTAAAAATGTCTCACAAGGATAGGCGAGACCAGTGTTACAAGTCCAAACAGAACCAGCATAACTGCCAAAGGTGCACTAGTTTGCTGACAGGCCTCACTATTGCCTACTTCTAACATAGATAGAATATCAGCTATGATCAACGCAGTATGTGGTCGGTGAAGTTATACGGTCAGTCTGATTCACACTCCCTAATAGGACATAAATAAACCTTGGTCATACTACATGTCCTTCACCTATACCTATATCTATATCTGTATCCCTGCCACACACACTGAGAACAGATCTCGCTCTCTTGGACTCGATTTATTCATAGACTGATGTCGAAAAGTATTCAATCCAGACTTCTTTGATAAACTGTCAAACAGATTTAGAATGGGTGAGAGTTATGTACACCTGGATAATCCACACAACCAGCAGAATCATTATCTGGCACATCCCACATCCAATCAAAATAACCTCCACCATCTGCAATAACACCCTAACCCTCCTCTTGACTACATAAGACGTTGACGTTGACGCATCGCGTTCCATTCCTGAGGTAGGGCTCGTTGCAATGCATCAAATATTTGAATCAAGCATCTCCCTGGCGTAATCTGCGACCAGTTATGTTCCGAACATGCTCCGTGAGATTGAGATCTGACGGATGACGGGGCAAGGTAGAGATGCTACCACATCGTGACGTTACGAAGTCACCAACGGACCGTGAACGATGTGGCCTAGCATTGTCGTCCATGTGTTCACAGGATGGTCATCGAAATGTGGAACAACAACCCTGTCTAGAATGTTGTACTGTGATGCACTGTTGTCCATTTGGATTGTCTCATCGTCACAAGGTCGAGTTTACAGTCATGTGAGAAACAGTCAATATCATCAATGAACCCCCACCAAAATGTACTTCCTCTACGATGGTCCGTTGTGCTTATGCAGTGTTTCTGCAAACATGAGCTCGGCCTTTAGTCAGGGACAAAAGAAATCGACTTTCGTCCGAACAGTGTGCCGTTCCCGATGACGTCAAATACCAGTGTCGTTGAGCTTGCTCTGGGGATATCAAAGTACCTCTGACATCTATCTACCTCTGATAGATCGTCTGGCTAGATACCGATTTTAAGCTGTGTCGGGCCGTTCTGTTGGAAAACGACGATGTGGAGAAGCCACTCTGTTTCGACACACAACTTGACATGAACGGATGAAGTCTTGTGATTCTGAGACGGGTCTTCGTCCTCCATAGCAGTTGCTACTCGTGGTCGACCTTAACTCTGACGGTCCATAACGTCATTAGTTTGCTGATGTTTACTGGCCAATCGGCTGATAGTCGATGTTTGAGAATGGCAACGGCCCTCAATAGCATGCTAGCATCACGCATGTTCACAAACGTACCTTTCTTAGCAGTTGCAGTTGGGGACTCTTCATATTTGCTTATCAACAAAGAAAGCAATGGATTTTTCATGTTATTCTGCTGTAAGAACAGTTTACTGAAACTTGATATAAAATCAATGTACAGTCGAGCACCGTTGCGTCGAACTCTGATAATTCGATATCTCGGCTGGCTGGATAAAACATTTTTATCTGTTTTGAAGCAAAAGCTAATGGATGTGTACCAAACTCATCTACAACTCTACGTGCGCGGAAGCTATGGTTTAATATCAATTGTAGACAAGCTAGGAAAGCGATGGAAAAGGACAAGATATATTTCCGCCAACTTAAGTAAACAAAAATATTGCATATCAAAGTTCAAAGCGACAAACCGAATGATATGGCGATACGAAACAAATAATTATATAAGAAATAGTCAATGTTTACATATAAATTACTTATCTGTTCAAAACTTGACTATGACTCCTTCGTATGAGGTAGAATCTGCAAGCTTTAAAGTGCTGTCCACCATAAAGATCAAAGAAGATCTCTCCGCACTTTCCGAACTTCTCTTGACATTCTTGACGTAAGGAAATTATCACCAGTAACTAATGTGATGCCTATCTATAGTCCAGTTATATCATGTATTGTTTTGAATAGTAATATAGTGACGCTTGTATTTTTATTTATATATTTGTATAAATTTTATAATATAATCAGTGACAACCCTAACCAGGGTGGGAAATGTCAGGAAAATTAACTAATCATTGATGATTTCTTTTCTGGGGTGATTACGTTGATAGTAAGTCACATCGGCAGTATGTCTGCCCTAACTTAACTAAAACAAGTTATGCATTAATCATAATTGTCAAACTATAAAGCTTGTTCACAAAAGAAGAAAACAATAACTAGCAAATACTGAACTAGTATGAAAGAATTCATATATGACTACTTTAGAACAATATTTTTATATAATTGGGCTATAGATCACCAAAGGTTGGTCACCATATTAGAGACGACACTAGCTGGATTACATCATCAAACAACACGGATGCATAAAACGTGTACATCGTCTAACATAACACTGTTTGAAGGTTATACTGACTGACTGAATTTGGTTTTACGCCGCTTTTAGCAATATTCCAGCAATATCACGGCGGGGCACACCAGAAATGGGCTTCACGCATTGTACCTATGTGGGGAAGGTTATACTGAGGTTGTGAAGGTTTTAACTATTATCAAACAGTTGTTTCCACATACTAGGTCTAAAAAGGTCTAGGTCTATTTCTGCAGACACCAAAGGCTTGAGCTGTTGAAATATGTTACCAACATGGATCTGAATATGAAGCAGATTCGATTCTTATCTCGACTGATTACCTGATCAATTATATACACAAAGAACTTAATTAAGTACCCGCTGTATTTTTGCAAAGATAGGTTTTCAACACGTACATAAAACTTAGTCAAAGATGTCCTTTGTCGTTTGTATTATGAGCCATATGGCCATCAAATAGCAGGCAGTAGACTGCTTGTCTGTAAGAAACAGACGTGAGTTCTCATCTGCAGTAGTTCAGAACGACAAGAATGATGCAGTCATTTGTTTGCACAAATAACTGTAACACCTCTTGGATTAAATTAGTATCAATGTGCATACTTTCTAATCTTGCGATACAGATTCAATCAGTAGGAGGAGGCAATGATGCAAGAGTTACTACGACGGAGGATCACTACTTGCAAAATATATTCCACTGGTCTTAGATTATGTTACTTACAAAATAATTCTGTATGTTTTTATCTTTTATCAGTAACATTAAGTACACATATATACTAGGCACATCAAGAAACTGTGCACATTGGAGAGGAATCGCTTTGGTGGTGGTTCCGTGATGATTTGGGGTGGAATAACAGCACGCCAAAGAACTCCTTTGGTGATTGTTCAGGGCAACTTAACTGGTGTGGGCTACAGGGATCAGATTCTTCGACCTGTGGCAATTCCTTTTCTGCAACGTCATGGCCCTGGGTTAACATACCAACAGGACAATGCCTACCCTCATAGGGCAAGGGTTGCTATGGATTTCTTGCAACACCACAACGTTGACTTACTGCCTTGGTCTGCAAATTCACCGGATCTCTCCCCGATAGAGCATGTTTGGGACGAGCTGGATCGACGTCTACGCCGTCTTCCTCATCCGACAGATAACGTCCTTGACCTTGCAATCGAACTTGAGAGCATCTGGCGTGACATCCCACAAGCCTTCCTTGCACGTTTGATAGGCTCTATGCGTCGTCGATGCACTGCTGTTCTCAATGCTGATGGTGGACATACCCGTTATTGAGCTTGTGACATGGTCCCTTGACCCCTGTCCCGCCTGTGGACTCGTGACGTCATTGTGATTGACTTTTCAATTGAAATGCTCCCGACTTGTTATGGTCTCATGATCCCTCCATTAAAGTTTATATGTACCTTTGACATTGTTATCGTACTTATCAACTGGGATAATATTTTGACAATGCACAGTTTCTTTATGTGGCTAGTATATATCATGTTTGCTTTATGGATAGATCAGTTTTAGCCATGGCGAGCAAGGAGGACAGTGATGCAGGAGTTCCCATGACAGAGTTACATTGTCAAGGAGGAGACAGACGTGAGCCCACACCACAGAGAGAATCATGGAGCAGACATCTGGACTACATGCTGACAATGGTTGGCTACTGTGTTGCATTAGGCAATATACTGAGATTTCCCTATATCTGCAACAGAAACGGTGGAGGTAGGAATATTATATGTGTATATTGGATGTTAACAGTATTGTTTTGATGGCTATTTCTTATGATTTCTGGTATGCCTGGTACGACGCTTCTCATGATATCTTGATCAATACAATGGTAAATACAGATTAATCTTTCAAACAACAATGTTATACAGTGTATGAAATAAGGCCCGTCCGACCGCCCGAGGCGGTCTAACTTTACACCTAACCAGCCGGATGGTCTGATAAAAACTTTAGATGTTCCATACTTGTGAGTACATTCACCACATTTGGTCTGGTTCAATCCATGTTGGGCCTGATGTCTGGCTGGACTTTTGGCTATTTCATACGTTGTTATATCATTCATACATGAGTGTAATAAAGAGGAAAAGAAACAGTTTCATCAACACTTTATCTACATTGCTGACAATCATTCAGGAATATATATAATAATTTGAAGCTTACGTCATTACATAAAAATGGGACTACACCTTTTCTCCAGGAGCTTTCCTCATCCCCTTCATCTTGCTCCTTTTGATCACTGGCTTCCCATCGTTCTTCTTGGAGTCGATGATCTCTCAGTTTTCTGGAAAGGGCGCAAAGCATGTTTGGAGCTTTTGTCCTTTGCTTAAAGGTCAGTGTCTCATCATATGCTCATTGTCTATTTAAGATCAGTATCTGAGCGAAGAGGTGATGGCTAAAACATTACTGATTCTTTCTCTTATGTCACCAATTTTTAGAGACATTAATACATGCTCTTTGAATGGTACTAAATGACAAGAAACGGTTCTTTTATAGAATGAACACCATTAGAAGTTTTTTAACCATCTACGAAACAGTATGCTAGCTATGTAAACATTTGTAACAGTGAAGAAATGTTCTACTGTCTGAACACAAGTTTCTATTGGATCTAATTTACAGAAAATATAAAGATGATGCTATTTAAATGAGTTGTTCCAGGCTAGATGGTCAGTAGCAAAAAATTCTAGTCGTAAGACGTGACCAAGTGGCACTAGGTGGTCCAACTGGGTGTCTGATCGATTTTTTTTTTCTCTATTTAGGGGTTGGTGTTGGCTCTCTATTGATAAACTGTTTGTATATGCCCTACTACACCCTCTTCCTGGCCTGGTCCATCTACTACATGGTGAAGTCCTGCTCCAGCGTCCTGCCCTGGACAACTTGTGGCAACAGCTGGAACACCGACCTGTGTATTGACGACATGAATACAACCAGTAACGGGACAAATATGGCAGGGAACACATCAGAACCTATCACCATAACCGAGCGTAGGAAAAATGGAACATCTGCTCGCACGCCTGCTTAGGAATTTTTTCGGTGAGATATACATGATATTTTCCCTAAAAGCAAACTTTTCGTACACATTCTTCAAGATATATATGCCTTTCAAAAAAGTTGGGGGACTTCATTTTTAATTTACGATTGCCACTGTTGGGAGATATCTGAGTCAATATATGTTGATATGATAATAATGAATGTTTTGAGAGTGCATCACCGCTTGCACTTCCTTATGGCCATAGTTGTTTGTACAGTCATCGGTCTTGGAAAGAAGATTAGTGTATGACGTGAAATTTGCATGTGTACAAGTTTCATTTTCAAGCAAACAATTCCCCGCTAGAAACAAACACTTACTACTTGTCAAAATTAATGGTCTTCAGCGATGTATCGACCTTATTGAAAACTGTCAATATCATGAATGACACCGCATGCACGTGTATGGGGCTATATATACATCACTGACATGTTCACATTTAAACAGAAGACATATTGGGTCCTTGAAGACCATATAAATGAAAAGATACAGTCTGCAATCACAAACGTCAAAGTCAGAAAACAAATGGCCTAGATTAGCCGCTTTGAAGATTCAATTGGGTGATTAGGCTTGAGAAAATTAGCAGCTCTCGCAAGTAGTTATATGGTACTTGTTTAAGTCAATTTACCAAAATACTTTATTATATTACATTGGGTCAGATTTTGACAGTTGGCAAAGTATGACACGGAGATGCAAAGTCTGAATCTGAGAAAGATATTATGAATTGAATGTCTTCATTGAGATAAGAAAATATCGAGACGGTGGGTTATTTTCCCATTGAGCAGTGAACACATGGTACGTGCTTTGATGCCTTCTCCTGCAACAGTATAACTCAGGGCAGTGTCACAGTAAGCTGCCTTAGTATACACGCGTAGAACAAACCGGCGGTTATGAACTGGTGGGTTTTTTTTCTTGTATCTTCTAGAAATAAAGACAATGGTATAACTAGTTGTATCTGTATAAGTTGTCATTTTGGAGCGATTGAAGATGAATACCATGTTTATATGCAATGTACAACATATAATGAAATTCGGTTGAATGGCATGCCTCAATGTGAACAAAGCATTATAAATGAATTGCAGTCGAAAGATTCTAATGTCATGAAATCAGTTGCTCTGTTTTTGAAACATCTGATTAAAGATTATACATGAAATTATCACGAGGCATTGTAAAATAGTTTATCTTACAATCGTATTATAGGCCATTAGGCCCAAATTACTGAATAAATATGTCTGTCTGTCCGTCTCTATATGTTTTTTTATATTGTTCTCTGTTTGTTCTTTGTTTATTTTGTGGGGTTCCATTTTCCTGTTTGTTTATTTTTTATTGTTTGTTTTTTGTTGTTTATTGTTGTTTTGGGGTTGGGGGTGTCCTGCCCAATTGCTGTACATTGTTAGTCGAAATGCCATTATTGAAGTTGGTTACAACCAACTAGAACTGATGGTTCCAAGGTTTACTGTGAGCCATTGTGATTCGCAGGTCAATGTCATGCTCGCCACAAGCTTTTTTCCTTTTTTCTTTTCTTCCCATGGTGATATTGCTATGAATCTCATTTAACTCAGTGGTATTAAGGGGCGGTGGGGTAGCCTAATGGTTAAAGCGTTGGCTCGTCACGCCGAAGACCCGGGTTCGAATCCCCACATGGGTACAGTGTGTGAAGCCCATTTCTGGTGTCCCCCGCCGTGATGTTGCTGGAATGTTGCTAAAAGCGGTGTAAAACCAAACTCAGTCAGTCAGTCAGTCGGTGGTATTTAAAATCTTATTTTTTTCAAAGGCAAGAATCTTACTGACAAATTACTTAAATAAGGATGACAAGTAAATGATTTTTGCTCAAAGGCGTTTATAACAAACCTTTCCTTTACTAATAAGAAACTTCCTTTGGTGAGTCATTGTGATTCCCGGGTCAATGTCAAGCTCGTCACAGGCTTTGTTTCGTTTCAACCCATGATGATATTGCTATGAATCTCATTTAACTCAGTGGTATTTAAAATCTTCTTTTTCTTCAAAGGCAAGAATCTGACTGACAAATTATTTAAATCAGAATGACATGTAAATGATTTTTGCTCAAAGGCGTATATAACAAAACTGCCTTTACTAATATTTGTTTTTTTTAATAGATGTTTCAGATACATAATTGTTCAAATTTGGACTTTGTTGGCCAGAAGTCTTATTGGGCAAATTCGCTGTTGCAACCAAACGGCGCATCAGAATCCATAGTACCCAATGCATCGCCTCGGCCCCGTGCACGGCTTTATGTCAAACTAACTTAGCCAATATCTGACTTTCAGGTACAATGTGCTGAATGTCTCAACTGGATTGGAGGACGTGGGAGCTGTACAGTGGCACATAGTTGGATGTCTGTGTGCATCCTATGTAATAATCTTTCTATGTTTAATTCGTGGAATCAAGTCTTCTGGTAAGGTAATTCTAATGTAAAAAGTCTCCTGACGTTTGACATGACACAAATCTGTTCGTTATGCACCATGAGTTGTACATGAACATGTACAACCTCTTCCTCTATTCACTATGCTATTCAGACATCTCAGCAAACCCAAGTCTGACACCTTCTGGATGGTGACACGAATGTTCAGTTTGAAAACATATTTCAAAGTGATTCTTGAGTATTTGCTCTGGTATTTGTTGTAGCTGAAAAAGAGTATTTATTTGCATATTCAATAAAACAAACCCCATTTGAGATTCTTAACACCTGTTTAGAAATATAGGGTGAACAGCAGTTAATAATTACGTTAAAATATGTGATTAAGACATATTTTTGTCCTTCTTTTAGTTGTATCAAAGAGGTTTATTTCTTTAAAATAAATAAAAGCAAAAACAGTAATACAATATACGGTGATGGTAAGTACCATTAGAATGAACCAGAAATAGAATTATCGTTCTTGTTTAAAGTAGTTTTGACGTTCATGCGACAACATGAAATCCTTCCGGAAGAGGTACGAGTTACTGTTCGGCATGATCCGGAATAACACGAGTCAGATGCAATACTTTCAGGTGTCCGTATCAGTTATATGTACGATCTTCAGTGGGCTGAAACAAATGAACATACCCTTTCATTTTGTAATTTTGACTTACGTGACGATTTTTCATTCCACTCGCGCAGCGCATGCTCAAAAGTGAGATCATATCCGTTATAACAGGGGTTCGTACAGGACCAACATGCACTTGAGAAACATGGTCACAAAAATCGGGGTTGAGGAAATTCATTGATACCTTGTACTATTCTGTAACGAAACGGACCTACATTAAGAGCTGAGTCTGGCGGAAATGTGTTAAAGTATGGATACAACCCAAAAATGCCACAGCCATAGTAACAAGACGTCCTTTATAATATCTAAGGACTAAAATATTATATTGTTTTCCTGACAACAGGCTGTGTATGTGACCGCACTCCTGCCGTACGTCCTCCTCCTCTCCATCTTCATCACAGTAATGCAAGAGCCAGGTGCTCTAGATGGCCTGTACCACTACGCCATCCCTGACTTTAACAAACTACTTGACGTCCAGGTGTGCCAGCGGTTGTGTAGCAAGCAAATCTACTATCAACTACTGGATCACAGTGGTTCATAAAGAAGTGTTCAGATGTAACGGAACTGTATACCATAGATTTTGGTCCAATAATGTCCCGACACATTAAATTACAATAAATAATAATCATACAGTAAAGATGTTATGTACGTGGTGATACGTTCTAGGTCTTTTTTGGTGTATGCTTACCCGTGACTCTGAGAAAAACACAATGACGATTAATTACTATAGAAGATTATTTCATTAACAACCTCCACATGACCATCACCATGTATCCACATTCAAATTCTAGGTGATATCTGTTTGGATATATCAAGAGACAATGAACGTGGTTTTTAATAACTGTGAAATACACTTAAACATATATATTGTCACGACACTGAACACTACTGGAACGTCATCGTCGGCAAATAGTTACTGAAATGCGGTGATAACGTTTAAAACCGAGTTAAATAGTTTCGAAACCAATTGTACACTACGGACCCGAATACAGTAATCTGATTCTGATACATCCTTCAACCCCATCATTTTAGATTCGTATCCAGGCATATTTTACTTACACTCGTGATCATAGTGGTGCAGTAACGCATAACACAACGGTCATTGGGGGCGTCATCCGCCCTTCATTGTTAACTCTAAAATGACCCTCTATAATCTAGTTTTTGCCATATCAGTATGCCATGATAAATAGCTGTATAATTCATATATTCAGGTGTGGCTGGAAGCATGTTTGCAAGTGTTCTATTCACTGGGTGTTGGTTGTGGGATGATTGGCACTGCTGCCAGCTACAACAACTTCCATGAACCATGTCTCAGGTGAGTAATCAAGGAAATCCGTGCAACTATATAAGTAGCTCCAAATAATCTCGTGGTGGTAATAGTATGACTTAATGCATTTGAATATTCTTTCTCGAAAATATTACTCATTTTTCTCCAAACACATTTGTCCGCCGATGAATGGAATCCTGCTTCAGAATTTCTTTTGACCAAAATCAAATTTGATCATGAATGTGATTTAAACTTAAAGACTTATGGTTACTTGTTTGAAATCCTATTGTACTCAACATGGATTTACAACACTTCTAAAAAACCTGCTAGAAGAATTAGAAATTCGTTTTGGATGTCATACTCTGTTGAATGTAAAAACGAAAGAAGTGATAATTAGTGATCGGAAGATATAATGTCAAATTACATTTCCTGGAGATATACTGATAAGTAGAACTTGAAATTTTGAAAATGTGTATGATTGTATTCACAGAGATTGCCTCATATTGACAGTAGTCTCGGAAGGAACCAGTATCTTCTCTGGCCTCGTGACATTTGCTACCCTCGGGTTTATGGCACAGAAAGTGGATGTTTCCATCGAAACTGTTGTGTCAAATGGTAGGTAACTGGAGACCAGCATCAGTTTTGTTTTTTTCATGAATATTTCTTCTGGTTTTGAATACCCAAATGCTACAATGTTTGTCATTTAGACAATTTCACGTTAGATTATATTTGCCTTTGGATATCACTTTCCATTAAAGGTCCAGGTTTGGGATTTGTAACCTATCCAGCAGCTCTGGCCAAACTTCCACTTCCTCAGCTGTGGTCATTCCTGTTCTTTCTGATGTTGTTGATGGTTGGACTGGACACACAGGTACTGCGAGGTCAATATTATCTGGTACATTCTTAACGCAATATTCAACTATGCTTTGACAGTCGTGCACGGTCCATTAAACCAGAATCGGAAATCATGATACGTTACACACCTGCAAAGTTTTACAACTTCAGTTTTGCAGGTGTAGGTTGTCAGTTTGAAAATATACCATCTCCCTATGGTAAAAAGCTAAGAAACAAACGCAAAGAAATTCACAATGTGTTCAAGCCTCAATATTCAATAGTAGATTAGATTAGTTGGACGCTTTGAACATTACGTCAGCAACATCACATCAAGACATTTTGATTTGGGACGAGTTATGGAAAGCAAAATGCCCAAAACCCGATATTGAAGTCCGAGTAAAGGACCTGGTTGATCTGATATGGTGGATTAAATACGGATTTGGATGACAATAAGATTCCCTTTGTTGCAATCGACCAAACATGTCCAAAAGAACATTTTTCACCGGAGAGCAACACCCCACAGACGCACTGAACTGTATGAGGCAAGGGTTTTGTTTGTGTCTTCTTGACACGTCAACATCGTCTGCAGCAACCTCGATGGTTATACTGTGGTCCTAAACAGACATGGAGACATGTCTGGTTCATCGACGAGTCTAGATTTTGACTGAGTCACGGATAACTGGATGCAAGAAGTAGACGGGATTGGCTATTCCATGGCCTTTAAGACTGCAAGACACCCAAAAGCACGTTTGTTGGACGAGTTGGATAGATGACTATGACGGAGACAACTGAATGTCCTGCAGATGGTATTAGCATTGCAAGCCTAGTGGACAATTGTCCGAGCTCGTAATTCAATCTTTGACGGACAGAAGGTGCCAGGCAGTTCTCAATGTTCGGGACATACACGTCATTGATTGCAGGTGACACTGATCTTGTACTTTTTACCTTCCACAGTACCACTGTTCACCATTCGGATCTTGTCCGTGAATCATATTTTCAATGTAACCAAATTATGGCTCTGTTTTTTGTGCATTTCTGTCGTAATCAGCATGCTAAATATGTTCTTTTTCTAGTTCCTGGGAATTGAAGTCGTGATTACTGCTCTTATTGATCAGTATCCGCATCAGTTAGGGAAGAGGAGGATGGTGGTTACAGGAGGATACTGTCTGATGGTGTTTCTTCTGGGAATCATGTTCTGCACACAGGTGATCATAGTCTTAGTAAGGTATAGATCGTGTCATAGTACACCTTTGTGGTCAAAGAATGTGATGAGATTTACTGACACAATCAGAATAAGCAGAGCAAAATTTGCAATTTAGTGATAATGTCTCAAACCAGTAAGTACGTATCGTATTCTCTGAAGCTTTCTGACATTCAGGATGACTTGTACAGATCATTGTCTAAGTACGGTACAGATCATGAATGTCATAGTACAAAAAAAATCAATTTTGTGATATTGTCCCAATCCTTCTCGTTCTCAAAACAGTAAGTCATTCACGTATTCTAAAGAGTCTGATGAAACATCTATGTAGCTCTGTAGAACCAGGATGATGTTTACTAGTTCTGTTATGAATAACAATACCAAAGAACACAGAGGAGAACGTATGTGTCCTAACGTAGCAGAAATGTTTGGATAAAGCATTCCCTTGCAAAGTCAGTTTGGAGAAAATCGTGAGTTTGTGTTATGAGGGTTCGGGATGGAAGCCTGTACCAAAAGTGTATATTTGTGGAAGTGAAACATCAAATTGTAGTACAATAACATTAGTGCAAGCAGTAGTGACAGTAGTAATAGCAACAGTGGTAGTATTTAATACCACGTATTCCTTCAAGCTAGAATACCCGTGAAGGTCCGGGTTAGAATATTGATCTTCATTAACCCATGCTTGTCGAAAGAGGCGACTAACGGGATCGGGTGGTCAGGCTAGCTGACTTGGTTGACCATGTCATCGGTTCCCAATTGCGCAGATCGATGCCCATGCTGTTGATCACTGGATTGCATGGTCCAGATTCGATTATTTACAGATAGCTGCCATATAGCTGGAATGTTGCTGAGTGCGACGTAAAACTAAACTCACTCAGGCTAGAAATAGGCTTACCTTGAATTGCAAAAGACAGAAACAGTTATACATCGGCAATGTTCTTCTACAATAGATAACACTTCCTCACAACTCCATGGATCTGTCGTGTATTGCAGGGAGGGCCGTACATGTTTCAGCTGGTAGACTGGTATGTATTCTCCCTTGGACCAATGGTGATATGTACACTTGAGAGTATCGCCGTGTCATGGATCTATGGTGTGTATGACAATAACAAATCTGTATGTAAAAGTTCTGTTGCAAATTTAAATAATCGGCTTCTTGTCCTTATTCGTTATTATTCATGAGTTATTTCCATCCATTATTTATTTCAGACAGTGTATGTAGGTTATGTACATTGGCATGGAATCTGTGCTATAATTGGTGTCAAGTAACCGATACTTGCCTTTTCGTTTGGATCCCTGGAAACTCATTCAAATGGGAGTAAAGACGAAAATATCTATGACAATCACCACACATTTGGATGAATCAGTGAAATCACCACACGTTCACCAAAACCAAAGTGTATGCAGTAGCATGACCGAACATCACAACTTTCCGATGTGGTTAAGCTCTTCTCGTTTCATCAAAAACATAACAGAGATGTTCTGAAATATGTGTGCGCCATGAATATTTTCTGCAATGACGTGTGAAATCAATGTAACCGCATAAATCAAGGAACGACACAAATACTTTCACATTTGCCATAGTTTTAATCTTGGTTATCGCTTATAGTTTAATTCCATCCAACTGGGTCAGTTGTTAATAATAATTGTAGAACTCAAGAAGGTTAAAATATGGTTGAAATATGAATTTAAACGTCGATGTAACATTTACTTGAAGAATCACGCATTGAACACTTATCCTGAAATATAACAGCACCATGAACACTATATGTATATATGTTACCCTTATCATATCTTGTTTCATATCCAGATCACTTTCATCCTGACACTTCTCCGCTACCAGCCACCAACATACGGCACGTACGTGTTTCCTAGCTACGCCTCTACAATCGGTTGGTTCATTGCAGTGCTGCCCATTCTACCGATACCCGTCTATATGGTCATGACTGTCAGGAAACACATGGCGACCAATTCCCTGAAGGAGGTAATTGGGCTTCTTCCATCTTAAAGAATTGTGCGACATTGAATTTGGTGACATTTCAGATGATGTTATTCATTACGATTCATTAGCAAATGGAATCTAGACAGGATTATTGTAGACTGTACTGTTCGGAACTTATCTTGAAGTGGGTGCTGATGAAATCTTTGTAAAAGTTAAATTGCTTTCATTGACAGAGTGTACGTCTTGCCTTGCGGCCTGATGATGAATGGCGTCCTGCAAATTCCACAAGCCAGCAAGATTACAGAATGAATCGACAAGATAACAACCAACTAACAAGACTATCCTCGTTTTGCTGTTCAAACAATAAGGCCTAACATTGGTGTTTCAATCTGGCCTTTATTGTACTCAAACGCAGTATTCCATTTTAATACACACTGTAATACAAACTATCACAAATAACCCTTTCACAGTTATCAGAAATACATCAAATATATGAGAATACATTGATATGAAATCACTATTTTTTCCGAGTGTCTTTGTTATGCTATTATGTGATTTAGTCGTCGATTTCACGTTGAACACTAAGGGAACGAAGAATTCAGGAGGCCCACAAGATTGAAACCAACACAGAATATAGAACTATCTGTATCATACAAATAACAACTGAATCATAAAAACAACTATATTTTCAGTTTAATGCAAATTAGAGCAGGATATTCACAATGGCAGAACGGGCGTATAAAATATAATAGCAGTGGTAAAAGCAGTGAAGTCGGCGAAATGATATTAACCAATCAGCAACAGTGGCCCACCTTCCACGGTAAGCCAAGGTTAGAAACACAAAGTGAAAAACATTGATCTTGACCGATAGATTTGCAGAAATTTGCTTTTCGAAAATGGACATCGGATGTCCGGTTCCTAATCCCAAATGAACAGGAAACATATACAGTTAAAACTTATAATTGTTTTGAAAAGAATAAGACTTTCACATGTTTAAACTCTAAATACTGTTGCAAAATTGTTGATAATATACGTTGATAACCAAAACAAGTAAAGCAATGCACATGGTACTTACACAAATCATATATCATATATATATCTGTGTTCTCCCTACCCCTACCTCACCAAACTCTTACCCTTGTTCTTGCAACTTAACGCATAAGGATGATTTTTATGTTGGTGGGGGTCTGTCTGCTCGCAACAAAAACAAACTTTTCAAAATTGTTAATACTGCCAGCAAAATTACTGGAGTGTCTTTCGAGTATATTCCCTTTATCTAAGAGCCACAGATTGTGAAAAAGGCAACTAAAATTAGAATTGATAGTTCACATATTTTATCTCACCATTTTCAACTACTTCCATCTGGACGCCGCTTTCGATTACCTTCGCTTAAAACAAACAGAGCTCGACAGTCCTTCATACCATCCAGTATTCGTGTTATTAATGCAACGAATGTTTCTGAACAGTCATCATGCATGCGATAACTACTAACTCAGCCTCTTTACCTATGTGGTTAATTGTATAGAATCATCAGCATTCATTTTGTGCTTGTAATTATTGTGTATATTTTTGTGAATTTTGCATATTTTGAATGAAACCGCTAGTATATGTTGTAACAACTTCGAGCGTTTTTAATACACAAAGAATTTCCTCCGGGATATTAAAGCTATATATTATTTTATCTTATCTTATGATGATAGGTTACCAGTTCGAACTCGTTACTATCTCAGGTAATGTCACTGAACAGAAAAGGAAAGTGCAAAGGTTTGGGTATAAACGTGTTATGTGTGTGATTGTATAAGTGCGTAGGTGTTTAAACTCTTCACAACCTGTTTGGGAACGCCCATGGAGCCGAATATGAGCACACATGAACACCAAACGTACACTTAACATATGGTGCAATGTGTATTTTGAATGAAGCCGCTAGTATATGTTGTAACAACTTCGAGCGTCGTCATATTATCATCAAGAATTATGTGGAAGTTTCGACCGCACATGGAATCAAAGCAAATTGACAGAGAGTGTGAGTATGGTTTTACGCCGGTTTTAGCAATATTCCAGCAATATCACGGCGGGAGGCACCAGAAATGGGCGCCATACACTATAGCACGTGGAGAATCGAACTCAAGTATTCGGCCTGAAGTGGGAACGCTATTACCGCCGAAGAGGCTACCTCACCGACCCCGCTGTCAAGGAGCAGATCGCATCATTATTTGATGTGGGTATAGAACTATCTGAAACGATAAAATTAGTGGAGTAGCACCAAGTAATGAGAGATGATGTCCTCATTCGATGTATTTTGGGTCCAAATAATCTCGGTCAACTCTAGTAAGAAAGGTGATTAGAACTGACAGCCTTTGGTGTTTACATTTCCCAACATCATATGACTCTTATGAAGTTGTCCGATCAAGGTTATCAACATTCAAGGTCTCAATATAGCTTTGAAAATGTTTTTGTGTACATTTCCAAACTAGACGCGTAAGTGACAAAAATTATGTCTGATGTATTTTACTATTTTGACTTGTACCATATCTTCCCGTGCCACCGCTGGGCCAGGACACACCCACCTTTTCACGGACACCTGGTATCATCTCTATTAGATAGTGATTCGTAAACACATACATGATATAATCGGAATCGTATGATATATGATATATATTTATACAGTATTTCGGCCTCATAGCCTAGAGTCCTTCGATGACTGATTATTTAGCAACTTTAATTTATTGTTTATGTAAAACATTTCTCGTCACTATATGGCTGAAATATTGCCGAGGTGACGTTAAATTCTAACTCACTCACTCACTCATAGCCTAGAATTGTATTTGATAGAACTTGTCACGTGGTGAACAATACAGCAATATTTCTATTTTCATTTACATCTCAATAGAAATACATTTTTAAGAAAAATGGCGAGTGCTCGTAAATTATCCTCATTATTTGTATTTAATATATTACAAAAGAGTTTCACTGAATAGTGCTTAATATTAGATAGGCTTGGGAGATATTTTAATCTCAGGTCATGATACTTTTTACAAATAAACAGGACGTGGATTGGAACTCGAGCTCTATAACGTTAAGATCACATTGCAAACAGAGTGATTTATATACATATTCATTTTTGTTTTTACGTAGGTGAGTAATATTAAAATCATGAAGAGATATTTTAAATTTACATAAGGCTCTTAGCAAAGACAAATCCGAGAGACACAATAAATATTTTTCAAGCTGCAACAAAGTCTTAAGGCTACTATAATTACTTAAATAGTGCGAAGATGACATAAAACTATGCCAATTTTGGCAATCAATATCTTTCAACCGTTGTTTGAATATAGTTGTAAACAATATAGAATCACCCACACTTTGAGATAACCGAACGTGGGTAAATCCTGTGTAAAATAGCAAATTTCGGAGATTTGACACCCAGTTTGGCTTTCCAGCGTCATTTAATTTTGTTAACATTATATAGCATTGGTATGGATATCTAGAACAATTCATATGAAGTTTTTTTATCCAGTATTTTATAACCCTTATCTGTGTTGAAACAAACATCGTGTGGCGCCCTGTTTCGCCAAGTATAGCCTTATTGGGTGCGAATTTGTTTAGATACTGTGAGTGAACTTTTTCTATAACTTCAAAGTATTTTGTCCCCCATATTTCAGACCCATGCAGTAAAATTGGTGAAACTTTGCTGTCAAATATTTTACAAGCAGCTAGAAAGGATATGCAACTATTTTTTCGAAATAATGTAAATAGATGCACGTAGATCATTGCACGTGAAGCTTGAGCTGCTAACGTTTGGCATGCTTTTGCCCAATTTAGAATACCTAGATTTAGAATACCTAGAATAAAATAGAATACCTAGATACTTATAATATGGTATAATTTTTAGATTTATGTTGTTTAGAACCCATCTTTCACGTTTAGCAACAATGCCTCCGTTTCTGAATACAATAACATTGGTTTTATCTAAGTTGACTTGAACTCTCCATCTTTCACAGAAAGATTGGAGCACATTTATTTGCTTTTGCAACCCAGAAACAGTATAAGAGAACAGTGTAACATCATCGGCAAACAAAAGTAGCATTATATCATAAATATTTTTTGTAACAAATATACTGTGATCACATTTATCATACATTTCAGTCACAAGCTCATTTATGAACATGGTGAAAAGTAAAGGACTAAGAACACATCTTTGTCGAACACCTGCCGATGTGGTCAAGTTACTCGTTCTTTT